AAGTCTTTCCCCATCTGGCACTGCGTGCTCAGTGAGCCGGCCAGCCCTCGTGGCTGTGAGGAAATTACACTCTCAACGGCGGGGCGGGTTCAGACCTGAGCACGGCACACAGACTCGCCCTCCCCGGGAGAGGAGACCAGCAGCCTCCTGTCTCCCCCTTCTCGGGCGTGGCACGGCTTTCCGGCTAACTCGAAGAGTTCTTGTTCTATGTGAGTCTCCAGAGAGGCAGGGATGGCGTCCAGGCGGCCTGCCCAGCAGGCATGCCACAAGTCATTACAGATGGAACGGGTGCACAAGCCACGATGCTTGCCAGCTCCACAGCCGGGCCACCTGGATGCTAAAGGTCACCAGGTGGCTCGCTGCCCAACACCGGTCTGAGTTTCCTCACCCGCACAAAGCCAACGGGACTGGATGGGAAGTGCCAAGACAAGGCATGGGCGTTCTGTGCAGGCCAGGATATCTCTCTCATGTGTCAAGAAATGGGTAGCAGGGAGGAATACCAAACCCAGACGAGCTGGGAGTGGGAGGAGAGTGCCTGCCTCTTTGGAACAGCACTGGTCAGAAGAGGTGTTGCAGAGGCCGACAGCACCGAACGTTCTATTTCAACACCAGTCCGCAGCTCGAGCAGGTGTCGGAGAGAGGAGACAGACACGGTGGGAGCCGACTGGGGTGAGCACAGGGTCTGAGGGCTCAGGGCAGGGCTGTCTCTCCGCAGGCTGCAACACCCTCGGGCACCCTGCACAGCTGGGCCCTCCTGCCCACTTTCCTGGCCTGTGGAGTCCACGGTGTCTCTGGGCTTACTGCTCTGATCCAGGAAGGGCTTACAGAGAGCACGGCTGTGGCAGAGTGTAGCCAAGCTCCAGGCGGAGGAAGACTGTGACCCTGCCTACTTTCTCTTCTGCCTTGAGGGGTTGAGGGGACTGTGGCTGCTGACTTACAGTGGCAGAGCTGCACGGATTTACACAAAGCCTGGGAGTCACATGCTTCCCACTGCCTGCTCTGGGTGGTCTGGTCTGACTGGGAGGTCCTGGGGTGGCCCCTGAGCAGTCATCCCCTAAGGTTCCAGGGTCAAGGGCACCTGCCTCATTGTGTGACGAGAACTCCCTGGGCACCGGGGCAGCATGCGTGCCTACCCCACAGGCCGTCAGGAGGGTCAAGGGAACTGATGCTGTAAGCACTGGCCCAGCCCTCACGCTGGCACCTGCATCTGGTGACTGCTGCTGTCGGAGAGGCAGACACTGCAGAGCTGTTCCGAGTCAGGCCCTGGGATGGAGGCTGCAGCCAGGGAGGGAGGGAGGACTGAGAGCGGGGCCACCCAGAGGGGGACCCCAGGAGGGACAGGATGACACAGTACGTGGGGCAGGGCAGGATGAGGGAGCCCAGGGCCAAAGTGCCTGCATCTGATCCCAGTTCTATCCCTTCCCAGCCATGTGACACTGGGCAGGAGCCCTTCTCTGTGAACTCGCATCCCCTTGTGGAGAGGCAGGTAAGGAACCTGCCACGGGGCTGGGAGGTCCCCTGCACCAGCTAGCAGCACAGCGAACACTAGGAAAAGCTGCTTGGAGAAGGGGGTGTTGTGCCAACGTCTGCAGGGCAGGCAGGGGTGTGGCAGGCACAGGCTGGGCTGAGAACACGCCAGGCTGGCAAACCCCTGCAGCCTGGCACCGTGCAAACGCGGCTGGACGCTCTCCTGCTCACTGACCCTGTGCAGCCTGAGGGAAGCGGGCCCTGCCATGGCACCTGGGCAATGGGGGGTGTACCTGGGGCTCAGAGAGGCTAGGAGGCCTATCCAAGGACACAGAGATCACGAGTGATGATGGTGGTCAGGCGGCTAGTGAGGCTGGTAGAGACAGGGTACAGAGTTGGGAGCTGATGGGTGCAGCCAGTGAGCTCCAACTGCTCTGCCTTGAGCTCAGCCAAGGCCGCCCAGGCCTGCTCCCCCCGCAAGGTCCTGAAGGACGCTGCCCACACATGGGCAGAACAAGGCCTCCCGTGCCCAGGATGGCAGTGTGAATATACACCATGGTTGTAGGACCTCAGGGACCCAGGGCTTTCACAGGTATATAGGCCCTGAAGGAGAGCTCATCTCTGCCTGAACTGGACCCCATGGCTCCATGTTAACGCCCCTGGGGAGCACGCAGCTCCACAGCTGCAGCTCTTCCCGAGTGCTTGGGAAGTGCAGTTAATGCATCCCAGGCAGCACCTGCCCCAGCAGCCAGGTGACAAGTCCCGCTCTGGTCATGGCGCAGGCCCGGCCCAGCCGATTCTCATCTCCAGCAGGACAGGGCCATTCTCACCCCACTGGCTCGGGTCAGAGTTAGCCTGGGACTCGGGGCTGAGAAACTGCCACAGGACTCCCTGGTAATCTGTTTCCACTAAAACCTCTGACTAACAAGAGAGCAGTGAGAAAAGAGGATGGTGGAAAGCAGGCAAACTCATTCAGGGCAGCAGGTGTGCTGGGAAAGGGGTGGAGGGAGGAGGGCAAGAAGGCAGCCTGTGCCCCTTAGTGCTCCACCCGGGCTGCCCATCTTGTTTCCCCTAAGATGCTGTCTTCATCCTCACCACCATAAAGCTGCACGTGAGGTATTTAAGTTCACTGAGGTGGCTAACAGTCACGCTTACAGAGCGCCCATTTGGCAGAGCAGCTAAGACACGTCCTGGGACTCGGGCACAGTCGGGGCTGAGAACATGCCGACTGCTCTCAGCGTCCTGTAGCAGACCTACCGACTTCGCCCAGAGAGGCCGGAGCCAATGCCTCAAGCACTTGGCGGGATGGGATTCTGGGGCTCCCAGCCTCATGTTGGCTCTGGCCTGGCTGTTGTGGCAGTTTGAAGTGAGTCAGTGGATAGAAGATCTTGTTGTCTTTCAAATAACTGAAAATAGGTAAGGGGTTAAAACAGGTTCTTCAGCCTTATTTCCTACAATATCACATGGCTGCAGTATCACGTGGGTGTAGATAACTTTCCGACTGCTGCAGAAAGTTCTTGGGGACAGGGCATGGTGCAGGGGGTCAGGCTGTAGCATCCCATGTGGGTACAGGTTTGAGTCCTGGCTGCTCCACTTCCCATCCAGCTCCCTGCTGAAGTGCCTGGGGGAGCAGCGGAGGACCACCCAAGTGCTTGGGCTCCTGCACCCATGTAGGAGACCTGGAGGAAGCTCCTGGCTTTCCCCTGGCTCAGCCCGTCATTGCAGCCATGTAGGGAGTGGACCAGCAGATGTAAGATCTCTCCCTCTGTAACTCTCTTATATACAGTTAAGTATTTAATTAAAAAGTTACAAATATAGAAATAAAAATAGGAGCATTCTCCCCATACCCCCGCCCCCCCCCCCCCAAAAAAAAAAACAAACCAAGGAGGAAAGGTAACAGGGAGAGACTGTGCCAGCAGAAACAGATTTAATCAGCCACTTTCCCCAATCTGCCCTGGGCAGCTCACTTCCTACTTGCCCCAGCCAACTGGCTCTCAAGAATGATGTCAGCACTGGAGGCTCTGTACACTTAAAAAAAGAAAGAAAAAAGTCCGCAAAAGGCATGGGAGAAGAGCCCTGGGCAGGAGGCTGCTCCGTCCCCGTGCAGCTCCGTCCAGCTCTGGCTGCCCTCTGCCCAGTGCCCACCCCAGCTCGGCGACCCCTTCCCGTATCTCGCCCTGCCCAGGGCTGCTCCTGTAGACCCCTCTTCCCTTTGCAAAGGGGGATCGGACCCCGCCTCGCCAGCCCCGGAGCTTCCCCCATCTCTCAGGTGGGCGTCTGTGCCCCCTCTCCTCCTGCCCCGAGGGTGCAGGTCAGCCACCTACACACCCCTAACATGCAGGGCTGTATCGAGGGTCTCGCAACCAGAAAGCAAGCGGAGGAAGAGGCCCGGGCACCCTCCATCCCCCATTTCGTCACGACTCATCTAGAAGCAGCTGCTGCTAGAGCACACGTGGACCCTTCTGACACGAAATAAAAGTTCAACATGAGCAGAACGCGCCGTCCGGCCCTCACGTCCCTCGTTCCTTCTACGAACACCTCCCCTCCTCTGTCCGTGTCCAAAGCGCGTCCGGTTCCCGTCTGCAAACATTCCATCGGGGCACACAGAAAACCGAGGACTTCCTCACACAACTTATTATTATTATTATTTTTAAATAAGTAGAACTGAGGTAAAGGAGCAAAAGACACAGGGTGGTCTGCCAGCCCGCCCGGGGCCCCATGCCCGTCAGTCCTGAGGGGACACGTCCTGCCGCGGGGCCTCCCAGGAGGACGGACGCCACCCTCCCTCAGGCCCACGGAGCGGCCACGTCTCTTCTCCTCACTCGACCCTCTAAGCGGTCTCCCACATCTTTTTCGCTTCTGTGACTGACGACTGCCCTTGGCTGCATGCCCCACGTTTTACGGCCCTTTTATAGGGAGAAAAAACCTGCAGGGTTCCCCAGGACTCACAGATCCCGCCAGTCCTCGCACCCCACGCTGCCGCAGGAACAGCAGGGCGAGCTGGCCCAGGCCTCGCCGTGGCCCCCAGCCCCGCACCGCCGCCGCCGCCGCCACCGCCATTTTGACTCACTACCCACTTGGAGATCCGCCCCTTGCCTGGCCGGTCCGAGGCCTGCCCTTTCAGGAGCCTGACTCAAGTGCCGATGAGACACTGGCATAGAACACCTGCTTCCAGTCCCTCTATCTCTAGGACGCATAAATGTGTGAGAAAGACTAGGCACTGTTGCCAATATTAGTCACTTCGCCTCATTGTAGTTGTTCCTTTCGACAGGCAAAGAAGAGGGCAACCTAACGTGAGCCCCAGTAGTAGAGGGCCCGGGGGCCTTAGGTAGGACGAGCACGAGCCCTTGCCAAGACCCGCCTCCTTTCCACTGTTGTCCAATGGCGTTGCGGAAGTTGGGAAGCAGGAGTGGGCGGGGCCATGTTGTTTGTAAACCTTAGGCCACGTGCAGGCGACGGAGGCGCCCTCAGACAGAGGTACGCGTGCGCACTGGGCCGGCAGCTGGCGCGCAGGCGCAGTGTGCGGGGCGGAAGCCGCGGGCCGGGCTGGCACGTGGGGGTCTGGGGGCCATGGAGGAGGCGATGCTTGCGGATTCGGACGGCGGCGCCGAGACGGGAACGGAGTCTGGCTCTCGGGGACGAGGCTGCAGCCTCCGGCACTTTGTCTGTGAACAGAGCCTGCTGTCCCGGCCAGATGGCTCTGCGTCGTTCCAGCAAGGTGAGTGCACCCGGGCCAGGGTTGAGCTGTGCAGTGCTGGTGGGTCAGTGCCAGCTCGGACACGGGTGCACGCCGTGTTCCCCGGGTGGTGCTAGCAGATCCACCGCTACACTCTCCCTCCAGAAGGCCGGTGTCTGCTCCACAAAGGAATATTCCAGGAGGCGGGAAAAGTGTCCGCCCCCCCATCCCCCCCCAAGGGTCCAGGTGGACGATGCCCATTGGCATCAACGCCGCGTAGAGGTGCTGAAATCCTTACCGAGACAAGAGCAAATACTATCCTCCGTGTGTTCTCCTGGGGCTGCAAGATGACGCCCTCGTGAGCACTCAAAGCCCCCTTCTCCCACCTGCACCGTGCTGGGATCCAGCTTCCTGCTCATGTGCCTGGGAGAAGAAGCGGGATGTGGTGGAGTCCGTGGCTCCTGACTTCAGCCTGGCCCAGCCCTGGAGAGAGAACCTGCAGAGGGAAAAATCTCTCTCTCCCTTTCAAATAAATAAATAAATACACAAAATCTAAAAAAATGCTTTTAAAACTCCAAAGCTACACGACCTTGTGGAACAAGTTTGAGCTCATACCCTCAAGGAGTATGTTCTGGGGACCAGTGCTGGGGTACAGTGCATTAGCCTATTGCTTGCTGTGCCGGCACCCCATATGTGCCCTGGCTCAAATCCTGGCTGCTCTGTTTTCCATCCAGTTCCCTGCGAAAGCACGTGGTCCAAGTTCCTCGGCGCCTGGTACCCAGGGGGGAGATCTGTTAGAAAGCCCTGGCTCCTGGCTTCTGGCTGGCCGCTTGCCTTTTATATAAATACTTATAACAGATATGCATGTACATGTAGTATGTACATGTTTCAAAGTGGGTCCCAGGCTGCTCTGGCCTCAGACCATCTCACAGTGTAGAAAAACTATAGCGCCCCTCAGCCCATTCCAACTGAAACTGTTTCTCCCTGATGGGGACTCCCTTGGCTCAGCCTTTAGGCCCTCCTCTCCCTGTTGGTTCACTCCTGCAGTGGTTCTGCCCAGGCCCGTGTTCAGAAGCTGCATGGCCTGCTCCCTCCACTGCTGAGTCCTGGGCATGGGGAAGCTCCCTGTGGACCCCCTAGGCGGGAGGGGAGGGACAGGCCCCATCAACAGTGGTTAATGGGGTTCAGGAGTTTGCAGAGCCACAGCAGGGCCTGTATGCTCCTTGTTACCCACGGGATTCTGTTCCCCCAGGTGATACCTCTGTCCTGGCCGGGGTGTATGGGCCGGCCGAGGTGAAGGTCAGTAAAGAAATCTTCAACAAAGCCACGCTCGAGGTGATCCTGAGGCCGAAGATCGGACTGCCTGGTAACCAGCCCGGCTGACCTCCCGCTGCCCTGCCTCTCCCTGCCTGCTGCCCCAGTCTCCTCCACTCCCTCTCGCCTCCCCTCTCTGTGTCTCAGCCTCCATCCTCTTGTGTGTGTACATCAACCTGCTTCTATCTGCTTTTGCCCTCTGGCTCCCCCACTGCCCTCGGGACGGATGGCCCCCTTGCTGCCTCTTGGGGAAGGCAGGGTGGGGCGGGTGGCAGTAAGCCATGCCCTGCCTTCCTCATGGTGGATCTGCTGTGCCACCCATGTCAGTGCCTACTCTATCCCTGGGTGAGAGGGGGTCAGCACGCCTGGGTGGAAGGCAGGTTCCTGACAGGAGCCTTGGCTTGCCCCAGGGGTCGCGGAGAAGAGCCGGGAGCAGCTGATCCGGAGCACGTGCGAGGCGGTGGTGCTGGGGGCGCTGCACCCCCGCACCTCCATCACGGTGGTGCTGCAGGTTGTCAGTGATGCTGGCTCCGTATCCTTGCTGCCGAGACGCCTCCTACAGGACCTCCCCGATTGCCCCTGCTCTGGGGTCCCTTACACACCTGCCAGACGCTTGACAGGCACTAGCTGACTGGGACCATGCTGTTGTTGCTTGATCACTTTAGAAACGCTATTCTGTTTTCTGGTTGAAGCAGCTCAGCACTCAATCCAGGGACCCTCGCTTGTTGAAGGTCACACGGCTGAGATGACTGAGCCAGGTCAGGCTTTCCTGATCCCAGAACCACTCTGAAGCCGTCTGCCAGCATTGGTGACGTCTGCCTAGGCATGGGCAGGTTGGGGGGTGACGGGGACGTGTCTTGCCAGCCAGCCCTCAGTAGCAACTCTTCTTTAACTGCGGCCCCCCCCCGTGGCGTCAGCTTCTGGCCTGTTGCCTGAATGCGGCCTGCATGGCATTGGTGGACGCGGGTGTGCCCATGCGGGCTCTCTTCTGCGGGGTCACCTGTGCCTTGGACTCCGATGGGACCCTCGTGCTGGACCCCACAGTCAAGCAAGAGAAGGTAGGTGGGAAGTGGGGAATCAGGGTGGTGGAAGGGCTATGTGTGGACAGCTCTCCCTCTCCTCCTGTCCATCCGTTGGCGCTATCACTTCACTCCTTTGCACAGACCGTGCTGTGCTGCTCGGGGTCCCTTCAGCTGCAGGTGCTAGAAGCCCACTGCTGCCTTGCATCAGCAAAGCAGGGAACGTCCTGGGTGTCGTTGGCAAACGGATGGAGAGCAGAACTTAGCCTGAGCCTGGGCCGCAGATCTTGTCGTTTTGCCTGGTATCACCTCTGGTTCGCTCCCTAAATAGCCGGAACAGCCGAGGTGGACCAGGCCAAAGCCAGGAACCAGGAACTCCATCTGAGGCTCACACATGGGGGCAGGGATCCATGGATTGAACATCTCCTGGTGCATTAGTGGAGCTGGATCTGAAGTGGAGCAGCTGGGACCAGAACCTGCATCCACGTGGAACACCCATGTTGCAGGTGGCAGCCTGTCTTGCTGCATGACAACCCTGGCCCCATCACCCCTGCAGTTTTCCTGATCTTGGGTTCCAGGTGCTCAGCATCTTCTGGGGCTGAGGCTCAGCTCCACGTGTCCATGCAAGAGGCTCAAAGCAAAGGGGATGCCTGAGAGTGTCCCTCATTGGCTCCAGTTCCCTGTCCTTTGTGTTTGTTGATGCTTGTGTGAGCCAGGTCCTGTTCTGTCATTGGAGACGTCACGGTTAGTTCTGGATGCACAAAGATGTGCCTGCCCTGCCCTGGCTGCTCAGGCTCAGGACCCGTCCTCCCCTCGTTGCTGACAGGACGGCCGCCACTGTGTCCGGGGGTCCTAGGCGCAGCGCTTGCTGCCCCCAGTCTCACACCAGGCGCCTGGCAGCACTCCCCAGCAAGGCATTCTGAGAAGTGTCTTTCTGCAGCTGCAGTCCCTGGGTACAGAGCGTGGAAAGGTCGGGGAGAGGCACCTGGCCAATGAACAGCACTGGGGGTGCAGTGAGGAGTGTGGGGAGCAGGTGGGAGTTGCTGCCCAGGGGAAAACGGGGAGAGCGTGGTCTGTAGCCAGGGCACCTGACTGTGAGAAGGCGAAACCTTGAGGCCAAGGGGTCAGGAGCCCCCACTTCGGGACCCGCTGGGGTTTTATCTCATGAGAGGGTCCTAGGCCCCCGCCTCACCCTCTCCCCGTTGTCCGTAGGAGGCCCGGGCAGTCCTGACCTTCGCACTTGACAGCGTGGACCGGAAGCTGCTGATGTCCACCACCAAGGGGCTGTACTCACATGTTGAGGTACCTGCGTGGGGATGGGGTGAGAGCAGCTGAGGTCTCTGTACCTGGCTCTACCTGATCTTAAAAGAATAGTTTGGCAACCGAGGGGCTAACTTCAGGCTCTGGAAGGCCAGGGCCGGGAACTCCCAGCCCACTGAGAGCTCTGAGGTACCGGGCCCTACGAGGCTGGGGACTCTCTCAGGTGTCAGGATGCCCGGCCCCCTGGGGCTGTGGACTCACCCCGGAGACCACGTCCTACTAAGTAAACTCGGGGCGTAGAAGGAGAGAGGCATACAGCCTCTTACAGCGTTGTCTGGAGGAGGCAGCCAGGCTGTGCCTGGGTGCTGACCTGTCTGTCTCTCCCTGCCCAGCTTCAGCAGTGCCTAGCTGCGGCCCAGGCCGCCTCGCAACACGTCTTTCGCTTCTACCGGGACTCGCTGCTGCAGCGCTACTCCAAGAGCTGAGGGACCTGGGGACGGTGCCCTCCACTGCTGCTGCCACCGCCGCCACTCACAGCCTCGGCCACGCATTGAACCAGAAACCCTGTCCGGCCAGTCTCCGCCCTGCAGCCACAGGGACTCCTGGGGAGAGGCAGCGCAGCCTCAGCGCCCAGGCCCTGGGACAGAGACCCCTACCCAGGGTCCAATTAAAAAGATCTGCAGTCACCAAGTCGGTTGGTCTCACTCCTTAGTCACCGTGACTGGGCTGCACCCGCCGCGTGTAGGCAGTGAGCAAGACCCGCACAACACCACCCAGGGGTGGCAGGGCCCACAGAAATGGCTGTGGGACTGGTGGTAGCTGATGCGGAGGGAACTCCAGGGGGGTGGGGTGAGCCCTTTGAGTATGTGGGGAAGGTCCCCCTGGGGTTGAGGACCCACAAGTGGCCAGTGTGGCTGAAGTAGAGGGAGCTGAGGCAGGAGAGGCGGGAGCTGGGAGACGAGTGGGGGGCACAGTGTACACATGGGGCCTTGGCCGGGGGAGGACCTGGCACTGCCTGACACGGGTCACTGTTGTATCCTCTGGGCTCTTTCGAAAGCAGACAAAGATCTATCTGCTTATAAACCTCCAAAATGTCCACAAGAGCCTCGGCTGGACCAGACCAATGCCAGGACCCAGGAATTCACTGGCGTCTCCTGTATGGGTGACGGAACACAAATGCTTGACACATCAGCAGAACCTTCCGGGTGCACATTAACAACCAGCGTCAGCAGCGAAGCTGGGACTTGAACCAGGCACTCAGGTACAGAATGTAAGTGGAGCAGAGAGATCTCCCGTCCCCGCCTTGGTCTCCAACTGCCAGCCAAAGGGGCTGCTTCACTCATCTTTGGCTACTCCTTGTATGCTGTCACAGTGGAGCTGGATGGGAAGTGGACCAGTCGGGTCATGAACCAGCACCCATATGGGATCCTGGCATGACAGGTGACAGTTTAACGTGCTATGCCACGTTGCCAACCCCAGGGGCAAAAAGTTTCGAAATCTTTATGTGTAGAATTGGTGCAATTTCATATTAAGAAAAAAAAATCTCATGATCGCAAAGTTTGAAAAATTATCATTTAGTTCAGGCTGTTTTTTGTTTGAAAGGTAGAGGGGCAGAGATACAAACCTCCCACCCGTTGGCACACTCTGCACGCACACAGTAGCCAGAAGCTGGGACCCCAGCACTTGAACCGTCACCCCCGTCTCACTGGGCACACATTGGCAGGAAGCTGGGACCCGCAGTGGAGAGCTGGGACTTGAACCCAGTACCGTGATACGGGGTGCAGGCATGCCAAGCAGCATCTTGGCCACCAGGACAAATGCCCTCCCACCGTGGACTTCAGGAAGTTCCTTCATGGGACACATTTAATCCTTACCACAGCCCGGGGTTGGAGCCAAAGGATCCCACATTGCACCAGAGTCTGGCTCAGAGCTTAGGCCAAGCTAACGGGCAGTCAACCATTGTCCACCAGCCACCTCCTTCCCAGGAGGGCCTCTGCCTGCTGCCCCCGTTCTCTAGCTGTGAGGTCCCTGTCTGGACTCTGGCATCCCCACACCTCCCACCTCTGTGCACAGCGGGCTGGCTGCCGGTTGTCAGCAGCAGTACCAGTGCTGCCACCTGGTGGACGAGGACCAGGAGGGGAAGGCCGCCTGCTCACTCCCATTTCTGGAAGATACTGTCGCTGGATCTCACCCACCAGGATTCTCCACCCTGCCTGAGGATGCACTGCCCTGCTGGCCTTGGCTTCACAGGAGGCAACTAGTGTGGGTCCTGGGAGGCCAAGGTCTCCAAAGTGACCACATACATGCAGAGGTCTGGCCCCACTGCCAGCATCCCAGCAGGAAGACTCAGCAGGAAGCAACCCCTGCCCTTGTTGGTCAGCAGAGGCAGAGGGCAGTGGTGACCCCAGCATCCCCTCAGACTCCTTCCTTCCCAGAACTCCAGGCCCTGCCCTTGCCCTGCAATACCCAGCTTCACTCATTCACTTACTCACTCACTCATTCATTCATTCCCATGTTCCACTTTTGGGATGCTCAGCATGGGGCTTGTCTGCCCGGCACTGGAAACTGACAGGAACATATTATTCTCCACCTCCTGTGATTCTCACAACAGCCCTGACTGAGGCATTCCCATTACACAGCTGGGGAAAGCTGAGGCACAGGGAGAACAGGAGGCTTGCCTGAGCTCTGAGAGGGCAGAGCCAGGCTCAGAGTTCGGGTTCAGGGCAGCCTCTGGAATGCACCTCACTCCACCCCTGGGATTTCTGCATGGACTCCCTTCCCTTCCTTCCCTCATTCCACCCCTAGCCATGGCTATTCCTATTAATTTTGGTACATTTTCTCCTTTTGTGCCCACTCCCCTCCTGGTCTCGCACACCAGGTGGCCTTTGGGACACGCACTGGTGGCGATGCCCAGGGCCTGAAGCAGGAGAGCGAGGAGAAGCCATCCAGGCCCAGGTGGTTGGGAGGCAGAGTGGGAAGAGGAGGCCGTCCCCACTCAAGTCTGAGTCGCTGTTGCTGGACACCATGTCACTCATGGGCTGTCCTGTTGGTGGGAGGGGCCCACGTGGGCAGCTGTGGTCACCACTTCCCCCAACTGCTGTACTCCCCAGAGCCCCCAAATCCAGCCCCTACCAGCACTCTTCGGAGACAGATGGGCTAGAGATCTGTCCCCTGGGTCCCTTGAGGGGAAGCCTCATTCCTGTCTCCTGGAGTCCTGCTCGCCCCAGAGCTTCCCATTCATTTTCAGGGGTTCCCAGGTGCAAGTGGGGGTGCCCCAACTGGTAATGATCTCAGAGTAAAAGGCCACTTCAGAGTAGAGAAGGTGCCCTTGAGAACAGGAGCATAGAAAACAAAGGGGGGCTCCTGGAGCAGGCGTTCTGTGTAGTATTTCTTAAAACCAGAGGCCTTTTTGATTAAATGCATTAAAAAGTAGTTTACATTTTATAAGCTCAAAATCATATATGATATATGATTGATACATTTATAAACTGTATCCAGTGAAAAACTCACAGTGGACACTGCCTGTTCCCCACCAAGCACCCTGAGCTGTGTGCACATGGAGACATGTCATGACACAGGCTCACACACAGGCACAGAAGCCATGGCAGCTGCAGTGGGAAGCGCCCGAGGTGTTCTGAGGTGGGAATATTCCCTCAGACTGCTCCAGCTGAGCCTGCCCAATGCAACACCTGAAATCCCGGACTCTGGAGCCTCCAGACAGGGACAGGGATGCCTAGCTGCGGGAGGCTCCTTGGAGCTCAAAAGGATCTTGAAGCTTCCTTGCAAGTGGCATGGATTGGACCCAGAGAAAGGAGATGCGATTTGAAGCAGCCAGAACTTGGTGAGAGTTCTTGAGGCTCCTTCATGTCATCACCTACAAGGGTTCAGGCCTCAACTGTCTCACTTGTGTTTTTTCAAGTTTCATAAAGATCCAACATCATATCTATGTTTTGTTAAATATATATCAAATCATTTCTTTTCCCTTCAGATTTATTTATTTATTTGACTTACACAGAGACAGAGATCTTGCATCTGCTGGTTCACGCCCCTGTGTTCCATCATGGCCTCGCTGGGACACTCCAACTCTGCAGCCTCAGCTTCATCCGGGTCTCCCACATGGGTTGGGGTAAAGGGACAAGGGGCCTAGCCCCCCTTCCTCTGCTTTCCCAGGCCCCTGAGCAGGGAGCTGGATGATCTCCAGGGGAGAGGTCAGACCTGACCCAGACCCCATATGTGATGCCCACGGAGCAGGTGGCATCTATTCATGCAGAGCCACAGTGCTACGGTGATTCCCTTCATAGAGAGTATCTGTTTATATATGATATCTATGTGCACACAATATCCCAGTTTAATTTCTAGCATATATTCTCTTATAGTTAATACGTGTACTAATAGCTCATTATATTTCTATGTAATACATAGTATAATATCCATTTGTACTACGTAAACAATGTATATTTAACAGGTTTTCTAATAATGTGTTTATATCCGTCTCAATATATGCTTTATATACTGATATGCATAATTAGATGCAAACATAATTATTCTAGTCTCTAATATGGAATATCCATTGGATAATACAAATGTCTTATGCATATATATGAGATAAATATCATAATTCTACATATATATCTATAGCTACATTTTTATAACTGTTACATGTATGTGAAACAAATAATCAGTTGCTCTCTAACTCACTTATTTGCATTAGAGATTTATTTTGTTTTATTTGAAAGAGTTACAGGGAGAGACAAAGAGAAAGAGAGACACAGAGCTTCCATCCATTGGGTCACTCCACAAATGGAGACAAGGGCCAGAGCTGGGCCAGGCCTGAGCCAGGACTTCATGCTGCTCTCCCACGTGGGTGCTCAGCCACAAGCCCTGGGGCCATCTTCTGCTGCTTTCCAGGCCTGGTGGAGGGAGAAGGATGAGAAGGGGAAGAGTCAGGTCTCAGGCAGGTGCCCATATGGGGTGCAGGTGCTCAGTGCAGGAGGGAAGGCTTTCCCTGTGACACCACACAGCTGGCCCCTACAGTATCTACAGATAGCTCACTATTCAGGACAAAAAATGCAATTGCAAACCTTTTCCCATAATGCATAGGAAATTCATATTTTAAACAATTTATGCATAGAATTCAAGAATCTGTTTGCATCTGGAAAACTCAATCCTTTCATTTCATTACTCTGTTAACTTTCTGAATCCCTGCTCTCTCTCTGTTGGGACATCCCTGCTCTGGTTTCCCAGCGTCAGGAGTTTGTGGGCTGCGTCCCTGTGGTCTTACTGCGTAATTTAGTAAGGTGCATCCATTGCCAGGATGAGACTCAGGTCTGGCCCTTGGCAATGGTCTCAGTGCTGAGCCCCTGGCCTGCCTTGCTGAGGGGAGAACCCTCAGGACGTCAGCCCCTTCCTCCCTGGGGGTGCAGGCACAAGCAGTCAGATGTGGTGAGAGACATGGGGAAGGTGCCACTCCTAGCCCAGGGACAAGCTGAGAGAAAAGCCAGGGCACCACTGCAGGATTCTCAGCAGGGCAGGGGTGGGTCCCAGGGCCTGCTCAGTGACATTCCTGCCTCCATTCTCACTGAATTCCAGTGCTCTGGGCCTAGCTGACTTCTAGCTCTCTGAGCTCACAGTGCTCCAGTGTCGCAGGATACTGCTGTCCTGGCCTTCCATTCCACTTACCAGTGAT